AAATCTATTTTCCTAACTATTTAATGTTATCTGTCTGTGCCTAACTGCAGATGCAAGTGGAATTAATTCTCAAGAGGGAAAGTTTGCACAATGTTGTAATATCTCGCAAATATTTCAAAATTTCTGATTTTGGAGGAAAGCGTGGTTCACTTTTTTGGCATCAGTTTTATCACCCAATCAATCGTTGATTAATGAATAGTTAAAATTAGAGGATGTAAATGGACGTTGCAATTAAGGACTGTTGATTGCGTGTTTACGGTTTGATTGCTCGTGCGCAACAAGGGTTAAACGAGGCTTTGGTGATAAAATTATGCAGGCCGTTACGAAGGCTTGAATCAAATAATTGGCAAATGAAATGTTCAGACGAAATCGTTTCCTAATTTGCTGAGTGGATTGTAATTAGGATATAGCTTTGTTGATGATGCATGAAAGAAGGGAAATGAAAGATTGTCAGAATAGTCAAATTGCGTGAAGAAAATGAAGTAAATTTTAATTTGCTTTTCTTCCAATTAAATATCATGAACAATATCACATAACTCTTTGGTAAATGGCAGGTTAGTGATATTTTGCTAAAGCATGTTGGAATATTTTAACAGTTTTCTATGCTGAAAAGCACTTGTTGGCTAACTCTAAGTCTCAAGTAATTTTGTGCAGAAACCCACAGCCTTTGATAAGTCCAGCGTCAACATTGCCTTAAGACAATACCCACTTATTATTCCCGAGCTTCATCTAATGATGTTGTCCAAACAGATACCCATATTGTCAGTAAGATGGCTGCAGTAAAAGAGATGCAAGAAACGCTTTCTCCACGTCTTTCTGCCCATTTAAATCATTAAAGATACTGAGAGTCCTGGGATATCCGTCTCACTAAAGGGGCATCTTAGGGAGGCAATCATTAGAGAATTCCTCTTTGAGAGACCACCTAAAGAATTCAAGTTGCGCGTGAACATATAATAAATAGCCATAATGAAGAACTCAAGAGAACACCAGGCGGTATAATTGATCACTACTGGTTCAAAATTGGACAAAAAGTCCGTAATTGAAACTAGAATCAAAATTTTTTAGTACTCAAATATTTAATAGACGGAGCAAACTCAATCCCATAAAATGAATAAAAGGTCTCAATTGCTTAGTCACGTACGTTTGACACTCGATTTTTGACCCGGCAATCCATTTCTGTAGAATTCAATGATCCAATAACAGGCCTCGATTTCCTGGTAAATTATATTATTTTTAAAATACAGATAATAATTCCTAGCCCTTCCAATTACGACGATTTGAACATCACAGGCATAAAAGGCTACAAACCTTTGCCTCAAGCGGAAAAGATACTGAAAAAGCTCCACATATCCCCTTCTTCATTTGAAACCATCAGAGGTAATGAAACAAGTGTGATCGTGTGTGTACGCGGTGGTGAAGATGCCCAGATGATGCCATTTGAATGTTTTCTCATGCAATCATTTGGACAAAGTGAGATTTTATCTCTTATAAGCTATCCTTTGAATCGTTTTTGCAGCCGACAAAGCAAAAACCATTCTTCTCCAAATTCCTTACATATAACGATTCTAAAATTTTATTTCTGATCGAAACTGATTTCCCCACCAAGGGTACTTAAACGTTGTATCGACGAATGACCTTTTAAATCCCCCAATTACAATCGTGCCCGATTAGATTAACGCGTTCTGTTGATTACATTAGTCATATTATGATTGGCTGTTTATGGTAAGCTTTGATTTATCTTCTTACATGGGGTGTGCGATAGACTTACCTCCACGTGGTGCACCTTGGACAACGTATACTTATACGGCAAAAAAGTCTATTAACCGGCAGTTGACTTCTGACTTCAAACTACCATGACCCCACTGTATGTCATATTCGACTACTTCCACAGTACTCACCTCACCATTTTTCTACCTTTATGTCTGTCTCTTTAACATCATCGAAACACTCTTCTGTTCCCCTCCCCCCCACTGTGTAGCCTGAAGTCAGCTGAAGGGCTAATGATAACTAACAAAACGCCTGCCGTTTAATATAAATAAATATCTACCTCTTACAAAATATTAGGAATATATGTAATAGTATAATAGAAAATGCAATCATTATTACTCCATAGTTAAAAGGTCAACTGATGTTTTTAATTTTACGGAGAGGAAGCACATCTGTAACAAGTTCTTAAAACCATTTAATAATGATGAATATTACTAAATCCCTCTGCTAAAAGTCATCCAGTCAGATGCAAATTCTCTTTCTATTTTTTGCGCTATTGAATGTTTTCCTTCATTTACTTTAGAGGTAGCAAAATTTGGCATAATAACAACATTCATTAAGGGTGAAGTCAAGAAGATAAATAGGAGATACTGGGATTCTAGAATTTTAATTTAATATCCTGATTGCTAATTGATTACAACCTTAGTATAACAATTGTGCGCGCGAACGTGTGTGACTAGATCTATTGTAATGACTGTCTTGAAATTACATAGTCAGCCAAAGGCGATATGAATTCTTGAATTGAATAACGTTAAAACTATTCGTTTTAGAGTATGTTTTGCCTCTGTGTGATACCTTTTCATTCCCGCTTGTGAAATCCAACCTGATTTCGCGAATTAGACTTGTTGCTTGCGTATTTAGGAGTTGATTATCACTGCGCAAAAGAAATTAGCCAAGTCTTTGCCATAAAATCGTGTAGCTAATTATGCGGACATTCAGAGGGCTTTGGCTAACGAGCTCGGAATTAAAATCCAGCATTACAAAAATCGCCCAATTAAATAACCAAACGAACGCGATTGTTCTATGAGGGTCACGCGAAATTCCTAATTAACGTCAGTCTTATTGGTGGAATTTGGAGAAGGCAAATGAGTTACTAATTAACTCTTAAAAAGTAAGAGATCACGCAAAAAGCTATTGAAGAAAGACTTATCTGACTATCGAAATCAAATTGGGTAATTTGCTGAAATCACAATTGAATTATCGTTTAGTTGTTACATGGAAAGCAGGCAGGAAACTTTTAGCACTTTACTCATCTACTGACAAATTAAATAAATTACAACTGGAATCGCGCAAGGGTTATTAGACAACAATATTTAATAAGGGCGAATTCGATTTCAGCATAATTTCCTATTTTATCACCTGGTGTTTAAATCAGTTGCAAATAAAATCAAAGATGTTATGGACATTTTATGATGAAATCCATGTTGAATCCATGATCTTTAATTGGGAATCGGTGAATTCGCGACTGAAACAAACGAAGCCTGGACGGATTTATTGCATTTTCAGTCGTTCTTTGGCAGAAATGTTCAATTTCAACCTCTGAATGGCCTTGTTCATATTGTGCGTAAAGAGCCTTGACTTGAACGAATAGCTAGAATGAAGACTGCCACCGGAGAGAAAGAATACGGTAGCAATCATATCATTTTTCTCGTTTAACAATTTTTTTCGGGGGGGGGGGGGGGAGGAATATCAGAGCAAAATCGGTGACCTTGAAGTTAAACATTAGAAATCAAAGTTAATTCACCATAACATCGTTCTAAAATAGTGTGCTTATATTCAATGCCCGTTATTATAGTCGAATTATATTAAGGTCATAATAGGATAGTATTTTTCATAAAGGCAATTATTTACAATAGCTTCAAGACAATCAACATTTCAATAAATTCAGTACAATTTATTTTTTCAAACCAGTCACGTGATAGATATCAAAACACACTCCCAAAATTTCATTCATTTATGTAGCCATAACCTTCATTAAATAAAATTCATCCTGCTTAATTTTCATCAGTAATTGGGAGCAAGCTTTACCTCCAAGAATTGGTCCAACTATCTCCCCCCCCCCTCCAGTATAATTGCTCCTTTCTCAATTACATTCCAGTGTTCACGCTTCGGCCATCCGTAATTAGCGAATGAAATTATGGTTGTTAACACTTAACTAGTTGGCCAGTTAGAGTACCATGTGAAAACGCTTCAGATTGTTACATTTGAGTACCCCTAGGACTTTAAATTAAATCCCTATTTGCAATACAAATTGAAACTTGTCAGACGTTTGGGGCTTAACTCATTTCGACAACTTATGAATGGTTGAATAAGAGCGTTAAATTTAAATCAAGTTGAGATCTATTGAATATCACATCCACTCCTTAGCATTGAAGAACCATCGGAGAGCACCTTGAGACGGGGTGCTTGGTGGAGCGAAACTAAAGCATGTAACTATCGGAGGCTGATTGAAAAGAATGTGGATGACTTTTAAATGTCATATGTTTGAAGTGGCTGGCGCTCCTTGTCGTTTAATCTTCTCAAGTCAATCTTTAATCTCTTTTATCTTTTGTTTTGCTCGGCTTTTCCTGGGTATTGTTTGAACGGAAATGTACGATCATTATTCAAAATCAAAGTAGGAGTAATTTAGGTTCGTATTAATTTTCACATTTGCCGACTCAATATTTCTGTTTATCTACAATAAAGGAATAATTTAGCAAAATTATTTGAATACAATTCTATTACTGATACGTAAAATGTCCTAATTTATCAAAGCAACCACACACGAACAACGACCTTCTCCCTACTCAAATCTGCTATTGTTTTTTTAATTAACCAATTGAATATTCGTTCTGAACGTTGTTCAAAAATATTTAGAACACTAAAGATCAATAATCAATTTTTAATTACTTTTGCTTAAAAACCACTCCACAAATTCATCCTAATAAATCCTGATATTATGGAAATAATTAGCACTCTCAATTGTAGCCTATAATTAAATTAAATAATCTATTTTGGAAATTAATATAATAGACAAGTATGTGTATAGAAGTAACATACTATTATGAGGCCTAAAATGTACTAATTGATACCATCAATATTGATTTTTTTTTGTGAACCAACTAATTATTGGTTTTAATTGTGACAAGCACATGGCCATTTTATAGAATGACTTGCGCGAACTGATAACTTCCAAACAAATGATAATATTTGTACAAATAAGCACATATCTGAAAAATACAAATATTGTTCTACTAATGATTGTCGTCCACCAAATCAGGAGAGCTCTGTCTGAAGCTCGGGTTATCCTCTGTTTCCAGAGCTACTTGCGTTTGGGTATTTGAGTCAACGGAATTTTTGTCACGACTATCCTTCTTCTGTTTCATTCGTCGATTTTGAAACCATGTTTTCACCTGTGGGACAAAAGTCATGCCAGATAAATATCGGTTTGCAGCTTAAATATGAATATCAAGTGAATGATTCTTCAGATATATAACTAATAGAATAATACAAACCTACCGAATTATAGCCATTACAGTGAACATAAATTACCTGGGTTTCAGAGAGTCCAAGTGCTGAAGCAATTTCCAGTCGTTCTGGTGTTGAAAGGTACTGTTGACTTTTAAATCGTTGCTCCAATTGAGAGAGTTGAGTATCGCTAAAAACGGTTCTCGCTTTTCTTCGTCGGCCATGTTTATTGGACTCGTTGATGTTGGAAAACGAATAGAGTGGAATTGGAGTATCTTAGGGAGATATATAACATCGTGATAGAATTGGTGCATGCAATTAAAGTTACAAAAAAACTTGCATCCGATGCAACTAATAAAAATAAAATGAATTCTGTAGATAGTTCATGCATTAAATGCATTGACTTACATGGATTGAATGGAAGATATTGACTTAACTGATAAGACGTCCGTAAAGCATGCATGAAGGGAAGCAGGCCTATATCCACGGTGGTCTGTGCTGAAGGTTCAGGACAGTTTGTTGGTGGAATCGTATTGCCTGTTGGTGTTTCCAAGGGAGCTGAATCCGTTGGCTCCTGAATAAGACTTCTGACAGAAAAATGTTTTTTCATCGTGTCCTCAAGATAGGAATGTGAATAACTTCTAGCTTAGTTTATATATAGGTCTACCGGCCAATTGGTTTTCACTGATTGGTCAACTTCGTTTTAGTGTAACTTATTGGCTGTATAGTTAGTAGATCTCTTTTTTAAACCGGTAATTGACTACTTATTGAGAAAAAGCTTATTCTTAATTGGGTTTGAAGACCCAATTATCAATGGCTAGGACTCATTAACCACCTGCTGACTCATTGCATAAGTGCGTGAGCTCAGGGCACAAGGAACCAATTGCAATACTATGCGCTATAATTTAGGTCAATCCTGATTGGCTGAATAATGCGTCTAAATTTAGGCTCATTAAAAGTGATATATTCTTTTCAATCCTATTATCTATTGCCCCTTTCATATTTTTTTCATTATATATCCTTTGACTCTTTTTTATACTTATTTCTACTATATTTGGAATTAACGCCGAATCGATGAAGATTCCCTATATTCAAGAGTCCAGAAAAACCCAAAATTATATTCATTAAGAAAATTGATAAAAGGATCCTTTTTTCGAGTGAATGGCTCAAGCAAAAAATCTTTGTATAAGTTCATTTTGGTTCCCCTCTAGATTGTTCAATACACGATCTGCATATCCAAATAAAAGGATGACATTGGAAAACAATGTTTGGATCGCATTTGCGATGATAATAAGCGGAACAGGAAATACAAAAGTAGATATTATCGGCATCTTCGGGAGATTTGCACAGACGACATGTGTAGTTTGATGACAGAGCACGTCCGATATCTTTTAAATATTTTACAGTTGGATTATAATCTACGAATTGAACGAAAGTATAAAAATGGTAAAAAAATTGCATATCAAGACTCGAGGTAAGACAAAACTTAACGTAAATTCAGCATATTACCTCTGAAAAGTGTTGCTGAATCCTGGGTCCAAGACAAGGCAGTAATTTCGTTCAAGCCACTTCTGTCCATTGGGCATTCCGATTTTCGCTCGAGCGCTGGGATAAAACAGTCAAGACAAATCGTTCTTCCACAACAATTCATAATTACACTAGGTGACTTTAAGACGTCGATGCAGATGGGACAGATAAGATTATTTATTGTCGTTAACAATTTCAAACCGCCCACATCCGTTGAGAGGACATTGAGAGAGTCGAATTCTTTGTCACAAGATGATTGAGGACATGGGCAGTAGTGATCGGTTGTCTTCTGTGATATCCACCGCATGAGGCAGGCGAGGTGGAATACATGATCACATGTGCATGGCACTGCAAAGATTGTCTTAATGTTACCTTTGCAGATGAGACATACCGAGTTGTTCATAGTAACCTTAGGAGTAATTAATGTGAACTATTTGAATATTTAGTGAGTGATGGCTACTCAATTTCACTTGATTTCTTTTTAACTTCGAAATGTATTTTAACTTTTTAATGTGACTTTTACATGAACGAGTCCCGCCTTGCATCTGGAAAAGTTGAACCAAAGCATATTATTAAGAGTTTGACCGGAGAATGGGGGGTGGCCGTGTAATGGCCGACTATGGAACTATTCAATTAGCTGAGTCACCTCATGGTCGTTATGACCAAAAATCGATTATCCATCTACTGTTTCATCACTTTAGATGTTAAGTATGCAGAAACAATTGTGCTCTAAAGTAATTTACGTCAACCTATTGTTCAAACTTGATCTCAAGAAGCACTTTATACGTAATTCAGGGTTTGGATCTGATATTACGCCTTGTCCCCATTTCAGGTAAATTAATCAATGCCTTATGTGGGAACTAAGCACTTCAAAAGCATTTGAAAAGATATTCAGAGTTGAAGAAATACATGCGACTGGTAGGAACAATTTTTTAAATCAATAAGAGTCTTTCGGCAAGCTCTTCCAATTAAGATGAACAACGAAGAGGCTCGGGTTATAGCTTATTACATATCCATCGAACTAAATCATTATAGCTATTAATTATTTCTGATTTGCGAAAATGAACTTAATAATATCTTAAGAATATGAGCTTAGCATGGAGAGGTTCAATATTTATGCTGTATTGATGTGTTGTGTAGACTGCAAGGGATACCCGCATTTTTGCTGAAGCTTGAAGTCACATCATTGGTATCTACTTGAGTATCTACAATCCAAAGGTGATTGAACGTATTTGATGAGGTTCACCGTGTTCTTGTCCCTTCGAATCGCCAGCTGTTATTTGTCACTTGCCGGCTTGAGTAGCTTATTAATGGCATATAAAAAATCAATAATTAAATAGGACCTGTAACATGGGGGGGGGGATTAAGTCGAGCTGCCGTATTAACCTGTTTGCATACTTCAACAGGAATTTCCTTTAAATAGATTTCAGAATATTGAAAGACATTTCCGTTTAGCACACTTTTAAATATCTGACTTCGATTTGGAATAAAACTAAACCGCTAAATCTTATTTGACGGATTTAGTAATTAAAAATTGTACAAATGCTGGCAGTTTTCTAATAATACGGTCTGTCCATACTGTCCAACAAAGACGATCCGCAGATCTACAGTAGATCCGAACTTAATGTTCTCAATTTCGTAAAGGAAAATGAATCAAAGTCTGAGTAAATATAATGGGCACAATATTTAGCCGTGGGGTGCGCGATAGACTTACCTTCAATCGCTTGTCTGGAAATTGAGAAGGTTACTCGCCAAAACGCAAAACAACTAGTGCAAATACCGAGTAATTTGGCGTTTTGTTATTGCAATCGTAACCTATCTTCCGAACAAAGGCCGATATTGTGATCATTGAATCGAATCAGAGTTCATCTACAGTCTAAAGGTAGTAACATGGACAAGTGTAGGTGATTACACCAATCGGCGCTAAAATAAAATTCACTTTGAACTTTTGAACGTTCTGATATGCTAAATTGCCTACCTCTACTTTAATGATTTGATAATTTTGTAGATTGATAATGCAACTTTTTTTCGTACACTCAAATGAGGAGTTGCTCTGTTCTTTACTATGTTAAGCATTGAGTACTTTATACTTAAATGAAATAAGTAGGGTGTTATGATTATATTGAGTAGGAGATGGCAGTCGCAAAGGAAAAACAACTTCTCATTTAAAATGTTAACAGCAAACATTTTATTCAAAGTTCATATAAAATGAAATTAGGAGTAAACCATTCCAGCTTCTTGGAAATGTAAAGGAGGAATTTTCTGAAGGATTTTGTTTTTTGTTCGTTCTTTGTAAGTCAAAACTTTCATTTCGTCGAAATGACCAATGATCAAGGGCAAAACCTTAAAAATCATGAAAAGCCCCCAAAATTGGCTTGCCAACCTAAATAATATAACGAGGAAACAGGAGGTTGTGGCGATAAGGAAGTCCTCGACTCAGTTCATAGCCATTAAATACTATTTTTTGCACACTGATCACATACTGACTGTTGATTGTTAGTTGGTTGAGAGGCCTCTGCGATCGCAACCGCAATTGACAGCACCCGCACAATTCAGAATGTTCGATAGCGAGTGAGATGCATTACTTCAACTGTGTTAGTTTAGTGATTCACAGTTTTAACTTTTATACATCGTTTTATGCATTTATTTACAATGGAAATATATACATATATGTGTGTATGTGCACATCAGGATCATTATAATAGTAGTTGTAATAACACTTTTTTGATGAATGAAAATTTCAGTTGATGATTTGACTTCTTTACTGGCCGCAGCAAAGTCTTGGTAAATAAAATTGAATTTGTCTGTACAATTTTTAGCGCTTATTTTATTTGACATATGTCAGAAACTATTTTGAATGCTTTCTCAGTGATCAAAACAAACACCACTTGCATCAGTAAAATTTCGTGATTATATCTTTTTAGCCAATTTTCAACCAATCAGGATTGACCTCAATTTTGGCTAGTTAATAGGTGGCGCATAGTATTGCGATTGGCTCCTTTTGGTCTGCGCACACGTATTTATGCGATGAGTCAGCAAGTGTGCTTTTAACGCATTGGTTATTGAGGCCTAACCATTGGCATACATATGTAAACACTTGAATAAACCAATTTTCTCCATATTAGTCAAAATATGCTAAATCTCAATAGTCTTCTTGAAACTTCTTACGCATTGGAAATGGACATACAGATTAAGGTTTTCTTTATGAGCAAATATACCATTTGTCTATTTAAAGTAATTTTTTACCTTACACCCACATTGGAATACAACTTCAGGTGTTTATTGAACAAGTGGGGTGTGCGATAGACTTATCTCCACGTGGTGCACCCTGGGCAACGTATACTCATACAGCAAAAAAGCCTATTACCTGGCAGTTGACTTCAAACTACCATGACCCCACTGTATGTCATATGCGACTACTTTCACAGTACTCATTCCACCTTATCTACCTTCGTCTATGGTACACTCTTCTGTTCCTCCCCCCTCTTGAATTTTTTACACTTTGATGTTCCTTCCCCTCTGTGAAACCTGAAGTCAACTAAATGGCTAATGATAACTATCAAAACGCCTGCCATTTGATATAATAATAATAATTATTGAACAAGTTATAAGGAGAATTCAGACACAAGTGCTTCAGGCCATTTATACTACAGGCCTGTTAAGGTACAATTAGAAGTTATATTTCTATGTTAAGGTTACACACATCTAAAGTCCTACAGTGGCTTTTTTGACCACTGCCCTCTTACCAACGCCAACAAAGGGGTTTCTTCTATCTACAATGGATCCTCAAAGAGTCATTCAAAATGTCATGCGTATAAGCACACGTATCAGCCGTCCGGCTGTTTTCATGCCTATTTACTATCCAATCATGGGGTGTGCGATAGACTTACCTCCACGTGGTGCACCCTGGGCAACGTATTCTCATACGGCAAAAAGTCTATTAACCAGCAGTTGACTTCAAACTACCATCACCCCACTGTATGCCATATTCGACTACTTTCACTGTACTCACCTCATCTTTTTTCTACCTTCGTCTTTGAAACGCTCTTCTGTCCCCTCACCCGTCTCGACTTTTTTTCCACTTTGATGTTTCATCCCCTCTGCGAAGCCTGAAGTCAACTAAAGGGCTAACGGTAACCATCAAAACGCCAACCATTTTACATAATAATGATTATCCAATCACAGTAAGAAGAGGACGACATTTTGAAAAATCTTTACTTAAGTGTATGTGTTTAGTTATCAGTGAACTGACCTTTTATCTTATGGCCTACTTCCTGTTATTGGTGTGGTTTATTTCATTTGACTGCTCATTATTCAGCCCCCGTTTGCTAACCAAAGCCGATGAGGAAAATAATGAAGGGTTTACTGTGGAAATCAATATTTTGCATGGAAGGGAAGATAAAAAGTTCGAATCACTCTTCACCTAATGGACGACTGGACACCACTTCTGCTTTGGGGTTATCAAAGGTCCATGTGACCTATAATTATCTATAAAGGGACATATTTAAGTAGCTCGATCCAACTTTTGAGGTCATTAATCATAAAATTGCACACTCTGTCAATCGCTTTCAGAACTGACGAATGCAGCGGAGGAAAGGAAACGGTACCCGAAGTACTGAAAACCATTAATTTGGTTATCTAAAGGATACAATTTATATTAACCTTTTCAATCAATAGTGGTGGGAAACGGTACTTATAATTTGCCCGTATGGATTTGTTTAAAACATCTGGCATGAGTCACTGGTTGTAGGAAACTGAAATAATTGTATTAATTGTAATAGTTGCAACAATTATTAGTTTTAGTTTGGAAATATATGCATTGGTTAATTATTATCATGTACACTAATAAATAGCGAATAGATTATCAAAGTTTCCCTTTCTGCAACTCATCCTAAGCTTTATTCTGCAAATTACTGCTCCGTTATCAATGAGTGATTAAATACAACTAACATTCTTTAAGAAAGCAATGATGGAATAAGCAAAATTTTTAATTGATTCTGTAGAGTGCATTCTACTCTGATGGAATTGGAAACTAATTAATTATATGAACCATATAAGTATTAATAATATATGTGCAAAAGGAAGGTATTTTGAAGCCTCTACCGGTATTCTAAAGCCGCTCTTACTGACTAGAATTAACCAATGTGGTTAGATATACTCATTTAACAATATGCAGCGATTAGAATTGATTTTTTAACCAATGGAAACGTGGTAAAATAAAGGGATTACAAACTTACCCTTCGATGGGATGCATTCATTGGAACAATTAATCAATAGGCATATGAAACTCCATCTGATTCCTTAGAATCCCATTATTTTCCTTCAAACAGCTGCTGCACATTCACTTCATTGCAGGACTTTTAATGATGCGCTCAGAATTAACTTCCCACGTAGTTCTAATTG